TTTCTTTTCCTTTGGCTACTAAGATGTTTTAGTTTGTCAGGTTATCTTTTGCCTGCCCATGGATTCAGCAGCAATTTGAAAGGTTGACCTATTCGGGAATATTTGGATCTATGCTTATTTTCAACTCCTCGAAGCATTTCATCGCTTGCTATGCCCTTCCTCGTTTCTGGGTGCCTAAGTATCCAATATAAGCCTTTTCTTGTTTAAACCTTACCCTTAACTTAAAGGCTATGCCATCCCAAGGTGCTACTAAATGAAAGGATCTTATCAACATCCATGAATGATAAATCATAACATAGATTGAACTGCCGAATCAAAAAAATTGGGTGCTATCATATAGCTTTGTATTGGTTAAGTTCACGAGTTAGAGATAAGCGAACTCGAATCACTGACATCCGCCACAGGGTAAACCATAGCCTCTCAAGCCCCTGATTGATTCTACCATTGAGGCCAATGATAGACAATAACTCCCCCCGAACATAACTTACAACTTTCATCGTACTGTGCTCTCTAAAGAAAAACTCTTCTCAAAATCTCAAAAAGTGCTAAGTTAGAATCCTATTCTAACTAAGGATTCTCATGGTTCCGGAGGATCCATCTACAGGAGAATTGGGAACGGAGAGCTTTCCCCTCCTTTTCGCCAACTCTTTGTTCTTAAGAATGCTGGTTTTAAGAATGAGTGATTGCCCTTCTCTAACCCTTACTATCTAAGCTGAGAGTGGACAGCTAATACGTTTCACTTATTGAACAGGGTTTTATGGTTGGTTCGCAACCCTTGGATGCCGAAGGCGTCCTTGGAGTGATCTCATAATTCCTACGGGGTGGAGATGATGGGGTCAGTCCATGGATTTTTTTTCCTTTTGCCGCATTTCACTCAAAGGGTTGAAGGGAGATAGTGCATCAAGCTGTTCGCAAGGGCCAACTTGATCCTCTTCCTTAGGGATCCCAGATGAGGAAACCCTAGGGGAGCGATCGACTCTAACTACTGTCCATGTATGATCCATACTAGATCTAACCAACTGCCCATCCTACCTCCTCTACGTTCTTTACAGCCCATATTTGTCTCAGTAGAGTCTTTTAGTGGCATGTTTTGGTCCTCTTCCCTATTACTTAGAAAAAGTGAGCCACCGATTCAGGTACAAGATACTATCATTATTGCCTGGACAATTAGACATCCAACCCGTAATTGCAATGACCTAATTGCAAGGGCAGAGCTCTACCAACTGAGCTATATCCCCCCAAGCCAAGCGAAGCATGCATGAAGGAGTCAGATGCTTCTTCTATTCTTTTCCTTGGCGCAATTGGGCCATCCTGGACTTGAACCACAGACCTCACCCGTGAAGTAAATCATTGCACCTATGGTCTAACCAATTGGGAGAGAATCAATAGATTTCTTTTCGGGAGTAATTCATCCTTCTCAAACGCAGCATACAACTCCTCATTATACTGCGTTCTCCAAGTGTGCTTGTTCCCCCCTTCTCTCCAATAAATTCCCTATGTTAAGAATTAAAAAGTTCTTCTAAAAAGCATCTAATAGTAAGGATTTTTTTGGCCAATTATAATAAGGATTGGAGAGAGCACATGATAACACTATTGATGGGAGCAACGTATATTATATTTCTAAATTCTACATACATAAGATTAGATTCAAATATAAATTCAAAGGTATCCTCCCTCGATTATCACCAAATGTTTCCTACTTTTATGCAAGCAACGACTCTTTGCAAGGATTCACTTAGCTTTTAACAAATTAAATAGAAAAAAAATAACTTTTGGTCCTTGCACTTTACTTGTGTTTTGTTATAGGTTTATATACTTTTTTTCAATATTTTAGGTCCCTACACTTTCATTTTTCAGTATTTTAAGTCTCTCCAATATCCTTACACTTTATTTATTTAGGGATTTAGAACACCGAAAAATGAAAGTATAGGAAACTAAAATATAAAAAAAAAAGTGTAAGGATCTATAATAAAGTACGAGCAAAGTGCAAGGATTAAAAATTATGTTTTCTTAATTAAATAATATAAATGAATTTATAAATTATAATAATAACTTACAAGTAACGGATTTAACTCATTAAATGGACTTGAGAAGTAAAATTAGGACGTTGGCAAGTAATGTAAAGGAATGAATTAAGTTAAGTAATAAGTCTTTTTCAAGAAGTGGTTTACATGTTAGCTACAATGTCTTGGACGAAAGATATGGTCATTTTGTATTAGAATTTCATCCAAGTCGGACCCAAAATCTTACGGTAGGATTTCAGATTGTGTTGGGCCTAATTCATAAACATGTAACGGATATGGTCTTTAGATGAAATTGTCCCTTTCATTTATTCAAATTTAGAGATTCTTTTGGTAAAAAAAAAAAACAGAGATTAAATTTCAACACTTATAAAACCCAAAGTTAAATATTTTATTTTTCAGGTGCTGTATTCACATGCATCCTCCTCTAACTGTTGAATATTAGTCCAAATCAAGATTTTTTATGCACAGGCTTCAACATTTAATTTCAGTCATATATTAAAATTTTTATAATTTGTGTAAATTGACTATTCAGATATAAACAGTGCAAATTTAATGTTAAATTCAAATTTTTTATATTTTTTTATAAATTTTTAATATTAAATTTGGACCATTCATATTAAATAATAGATTATCCAAATTGATGATCAATTTTATTTAACAATTTTATAATTTTTTTATTTTAATATATGAAAAATAAAAAAAATATTAAATCAGGTTTAATCTAGAAGATCAAGATCTTTTTCTAGTACACTACAGGGTTGAGCCGGGTCTCCAATTCTCTAGATATCCACAGAAATGCTCAATATTAATATTTAATTTTATTTCTTGATTTCATGAAAAAGGACAAAAAGAAAGAGCCGCCGGGGGGATTGGTCAATGGTAGCTAACGTCTTTGTTTTGAGCTCATACATGATCTTGGAGGAGATGATTACGCCATATATCAAGGTGGCAAGAATTTGTGGATTTAGATCCATATTTATTCAACGAATATTATAATTATAGTTATTAAATTTTATTGACACTTAAAAATTATTAAGATATATTTTTAAAAAAAATTATAAAATAATTCTTATTATCAAAACTCTCCTCACATGCAGGATACCCTCAAAAATTTAAAAGCAGTCACTAATCTAATTTGCAATTTGAGAGGTAAGATTTTATGTTTTTTGAAGATATGACAAAAATAAGTGACAGCCATTCAATTAAATTGATGATTGTCATCGTGACATATTAGACATTTATTGAATGAGTATATTTGTATTACTAATTACTAATCAGATTCAAATACATAAATTATTTCCCATGCCAAGTCATGATGGATAAAGAAAATAAATAAAAAATTTTAATTTATCAGAATTAGAATTAGAACCCTCCTAATATAATTAAAAAAATAACTTATATGGATAAAGTTAGTCCAAATATCCTACAAACAAGATATAATATATTACAAGAAAAAGTGTTTAGTTATTATTTTCAACAAGAAAAAAGTGTGGACTACTCAAATTCTAGTCAAGATTGTCTGTCATCCCTTTTTAAGTCAAGTGCATGCAATATAGTCATTTTGGACATGCATGGGTACAGGAACCATCCTTAGGACGGTCGGGGGTTTAAGAAAATAAATTTATATTTAATTTTTAAGAAATAATTTTATTAGTTAAAATATATTATTAGATGGCAATTATTTATAAGTATAATTACATAAGTATTTCAAGAAGATTAAAAATATAAGATAAGATACGATATATCTAATCTATTAATTTCAAGAAAAAGTTATATATGGTATATAAAAATGCTTATATTATAAATATGTTTTCATTTTGTCGTTACATATTGATGTTGTAAACAAAAAATTTGGTTGGATAATAATAAAATTTTATGAAAAACAATAAACCAATATATTATTAATTAATACTGTGTTCAAACTGAATAAAAAAAATATTAAATAAATACTCATATAAATAGACAATTTCTATGATGATTAATTCAATACAATTTAATTTTTAGAAAGGACTAAGATGTATACATATATATATATATGCTATAAATATATAGTATTTTTTCTTTGACTAAAGTACATGTTTGAACATCAAATTTTATATAAGGTTTCAATTTAGTTTCTTAATTTTATAAGAAAAATGGTAATTAAGTCCCAAAAATGTTGAATTAATGGCACTTAATTCCTAGATAAAAACATTTAAAAAATAAATTACAAATATTAACTCAAATAGTTATAAATAGAAATTCATATTACAGTTTAAAATTTACATTTAATACTTAAATATCTATTTGCAATTAAAACGCTTGAATTAACAATTATCTGAATGGATGTTTTTAACCTTTAAAAAAAATGACAGGACCTAACAATAATTAATTTATATTCTAGGACATAACTATTATTTTTAAATTTTATAAAATATCTTTTCAATTCTCTAACCCTACACTGTTAGTTTTAAATTATTATTTTTTACATCAATTATTATTATTTTAAAAAATTAAACTCAATATGCCAACATTCAAAAATATTTTTTTAATGTTTAAAAGTTTAATGTTCAAATTATTAATTGATAAAAACTTATGTTGTTAGAGCTACATGAGTGAAAAGACACTTTATAAAATTAAAAAAATAAAATAAAATTTTATATAAAGTTAAATGACTCAATATATACTCAATATATATTTTAGTTCTTTTCTTTTAATTAATGAAAAGTTAATAAGAACAAATAACTAAATCTAATATACATTGTTTTTTAATTGAAATATACAAATAAAAGTGACGTATCCATATAAGGACGTTTGACCAAAGTAGCTAATACATGTAAGTTTCATGAAGACCCGTAACTTAGACGTCACCAAGAATTTTCAAAGCAAACTTTGCCACTAACATTAATATTACTTTTCATGCCATCATCGTTTAAATTTCAAAAACACCACAGCTCACTGAACTCTATATATACCCATTAATGCTATCCTCATCTTCACGAAACCGATCAAAACATAATCTCTCTTCGCTCCAAAAATGACTGTCATCATCAAAAGCCTCGCTGTGTTCTCCTTCCTTCTCGCTCTTAGCTTCACTTTCACAGAGGCCACCAGGTTTGACATCACAAACAAATGCTCCTACGCGGTGTGGCCGGCATCGTTGCCGACAGGTGGCGGCCGCCAGTTGAATCCCGGCGAGACGTGGCCTCTTGACATACCCGCCGGCACCGCCAATGCTCGCATATGGGGCAGAACCAACTGCAACTTTGACGGGTCGGGTCGTGGACATTGCGGGACCGGTGATTGTGGAGGTGTACTCCAATGCCAGCTTTCCGGGGCACCACCAACTACGCTTGCAGAATATTCTCTAAACCAACCCAATAATTTGGACTTCTACGATATCTCTGTGATCGACGGTTTCAATATTCCGATGGAGTTCAGTCCAACCAATGGTGGATGTACTTCCCTCCGGTGTCCCGCCGATAAGTGTCCCGATGCTTACCTCTTCCCTGCTGACAATACTAAAACTAAAAGTTGTCAGTCAGGAACCAACTACAGGATTGTGTTTTGCCCTTGAATGAGTTATTAGTCTCACCAGCTCGTAATAATAAATAAAGAACGATGTAATATGATGACATATTCTCGGCACATTTACGACCAGATGTGTGCGTTTGTCCTACTAAGAAATAAATAAATTCTCATCTTTTATTGATTTTCACACATGCATGTTTAAGTCTTTCTTTTAAAAAAAAAAAATTACTCATGATTATGTTTCTATTGAAGGCAATTATGTTTGAAGTATGATAGACACTAAATGTAAATATCTCCTAACAAAAATTTAAATATTGATTCTTTATGTTATGAGAGACTAATAATTAACATCTTCTATGCTAAACGCAACCAGTTGATTCCATGTTGAAGCCTTTTGCAACATTATATAGGTCCTTAAACCAATGGTAACAGTAATATAAACGTTAACAACAACTGTACTATGAAGGAGTCGTATAATTCTGCTATTCAATATAATGCATATAAAGTGGTTTTGCTGGCTCGTATCCTTATCATAAAGTACATTCTAATTAAAATTTATCAATAGATCTTATTATAAGTTACTATCAAATATGCTTTATGACTGTTAAAATTTGTATTTATATAACATGATTGATAGGGTAGGGTCCTAACAGGATTTTCCTCTTCCCATCACTGAGCCTGGCGGTCTTTAATTTGTTATAAATTGTCCTTGTTGACCTGGTTGGCCTGGTTGGTCTATATATACTATTTTTCAGGAAAATACTTAGCTACTTCAACGATTTCATAGTATCTCTAAAGGTTGTCAACAAGTTATTAATTAGTTCTAAGTCATCTTTGTTGATTTATAAACCATTGCATCCAAACTTTTCTACCCATTTTAAATCTGCAAATTTTGAAATTCAAGGTTATTAATTAATTTTGATCTGCTACCATTGACCACAAATGAGGAGACGAAAGGGATGGAATTTGCAGAAGTCATTAATTAATTTGAATGTAGCAGATCATCTTAGCAACCAACTTAATTATTGAGTTGCAACAACCACAATGGGATGTTTTGACACTCAACTCATGTCCCATCTCAAGTGTAATTTTGTGTCACTTGATTTTTTTGGGCTATAATAGACCTGTCCTAATATAATTGGAATAGAGATTGGCCAATCGAGATAGGATTCCAATGAACACCCCTATAGGGTGTTTGTAAATTTGGTTTGGTTTGGTTTGATTTTAAAGAAAAAACCAAACTGAACCAAATCAATTACTTTACCAAAGCATGAGGCCTATTCAATCTTTTTTTTTATTTATAACACTTTGGTTCAGTTTTTGAGATACTTGGGTGGTGTAATTTTTAAATAATAATATTTAAATTATTAAACATTAAAATACTTAATATTTTAATAATATTTATTGAATTGTATTTTAACAAGATTTTAGGATACTTGACGCTCTAAAAAAAGGACTTTAAAGTGCTTAACACTCTTAAAAAAAGAGTTCAAGAGCAAATTAACACTAAAGGACATGTCTCATCCTACATGTCACTGTGTGGACTTCACGCAAATGCCACATCAGTAGAAAGCAGAAAAATTAAAAGTTGATTAATGGAATGGGGTTTTTGCTCCTTTGAACAATAATTTAGAGATAAAATTATCTCACTTAAGAGTATAGGGTACCTAGAGCTTTTAAAAAATGAGTACAGTGGCAAATTAAACCTTAACTCTATAAATTACTCAGTATTTAGTGCTTAACCATGTCTTAAACAAGATTATCTCTAATAGAAAAATAATTGCGTGCAATAAAAAAAATTCTACTATATCAACATACATATCTTTTTTTTTAAAAAAAATAATTATTTATTTAACTTTTTAAGGTTAAAAAGTATTTAGTAAATAAAATGTACATTATTCGAATACCAGCTGAGCCAAGGGTGTGAGCCATCTTTTTCCAAGTCATGCGGATATTGTCAATTTTGAACGCTGTGACCGGACTAGTCAGTTTGACCAGGAACCTGTTACCAGTCCATTCAATTGATGCTGCGAAATCATAGAGTAAGTGAACTCGTCAACGAACTAGAAAAACCTGATCGGTTCACTGATTCAAGAAACAAATCAAAAAAAAAAAAAAATGAAACCAGCTGATGGAAGAAATCTAGAGAAAAAAAAAATGGAATTCGTGAATGAGATTGATTTAAAAAAAAACTAAGAAGAGATGTTTTTTTGTGACTAACCGTGTTTCATCAGTCAAAAAATCACTAGATTTGTTATAAATTTATCAGAGGTACATGACCTGTATCTCAGTATCTTAGGTCCATGGCAGCAAAGAGATGGGGAAGAACTGGAAGGAAGAACAAAAAGGCTTTTGGCTTTGAGTAAAAGATTGAAGCTAAGGGGACCATTTCTCTTGCTTTACACATTATAAATATTAAATAGTATTAACTGATAATTAACATCAAAGGTGCATTAGGCAGCTGGTCCGGCGATTGGCGGCATGACATTGAAAAAAAATGATAATTTAATATCATTATATGCTATTAATTTGATATTCTAGAATCTCCATGTTATTTGTGGATTTAAATCCAGTGAATGACTTAATTACACTCATTTAATAATTATTTAATTTAATCAAATGACTATCAAATATTGTTATGTAATACTCAAAAATACCAAATCTTAAATTTTTAAAAGGGATAACAAATGCAAGGAGTGTTTTTATCGCAAGAAATATAATATTTTAAACTTTTAAAGAAAAATATATCTTGATAATTTTTAAATATTGATGAAATTTAATAGTTATAATTGAGACACTTAATAAGCTATTCACCAAATCCAAATCCACTATTTTGTGTGGCTATGCATTGAACAATGGGAATTGCAAAAGAATTAAACTTGGCTTTGAAAAAACTAATTTATATATACTCCCCCACTCACTATTATAGAGCACATTCCAAAAAGATTTTTTTGTCTTTAATATAAGGTACTTGGATGGTTATTTATTATAACTTTCTAAAATTTACCCCTGTTACATATTTAATTTTATAACTCATTATATATTGTGTATCTCTCTTCTTATTTTTTATATAGATGAAGTTAAATTTTTTTTCCAATTTTTAAGACATATTTAATGAAATAACTGTAATTTTATGATTCTAGTAAAATAGTTGAAATTGCCTAATAATATGGACTAGATGGAGTATTTAATATTTTCTATCCCTTTGAATGATTTTTTTTAATTTGTTTGTTTTATAATCATGGTAGATGTCTATTTTCTTCACACATCATCATTTTCATCTTTTTTCATGAAACTTTCACTGTTATGAGAGTTAATTATTTGTCTTCATCATTTCTATAACATTTGATGTACATGACCATATATATAAAAAGGGTATATTATTTGTATTGAAGTACACAATAATTTTTTAAAAAAATTTCATTCTCTTGTCTCTACACTTCTTTGCCTAATATCTTTATTTTCTAGTTGCTTAATTTCATAACAAGCATAAATTTATTTATATAATCTCTAATCTGTGATATCTAATTATATAATAGTAAATGAAAAAAAAATTATTTCATTGATGGCTTTAAACATACACACGGACACTCACATCATGGATGTAAAAATTATTCAATTAAATTAACGTACCAAAAGAAATTCTATTTTATAAAAAAAGTTCATGCATTTTCATTATAAATTCTAGCATATCAACATATACACGTCTTTTTTAAAAAAATAATTATTTATTTAAATATTCCTAAATAAAAAGTACTTGATTAATAAAGTGTGAATTATTCAAATACCAGCCAAAGGTATGAGCCATGTTTTTCCAAGTCATGGGCATATAGTCAATTTGAAAACTTATCCATTATATATGCTACTTCAATCTTAACTTATAAGATATTTTTAAAAGAATTTGGCATCCTAAAATATAATATCACTTTCATAAAAATAAAATTTTATTGATGATTCTTTTTTAATATTTCCTTTTCCATTATACTCTTTCTCTTTAATATTTTTTTACATATAGTGTATTGAATGAATGACATTTGTAAAAAAATATATTTTTTAAAAAATAAGATTATAAAATATATTTAATAAATTTTATTAGCATATTTTTTTTATCTAAAAGGTTTTTATAAATTAAGAAGGCGAGAGTATTTTATTATATGTTGACCCGTAACTTGACTGGCAGTCTGGCATAACGAAGTTCTTCTAGCGGGCTTGTTATATATATTCAACTCATTTATATATTTTATTATACGCACACACGTCATGGCATCATCGTTTAAATTTCAGAAACGTAATACCACAGGCTGCCTATATATACCCACTGTTGTAGACCCTCTTCTTCACAAAGCAATCACCAAACAATCTCTTAAGCTCCAAAAATGACGCTTCTCAAAAGTCTCTCTGTCTTCTGCTTCCTAACTCTTAGCTTTGTTCTCACACAGGCCGCCAGGTTTGACATCACAAACCGATGCTCCTACATGGTGTGGCCGGCCGCCTTGCCCACGGTTGAATCCTGGCCAGACATGGTCCCTTGACGTGCCCGCCGGCACTACTAGCGGTCGTATAAGGGGCCGAACTAACTGCAACTTCGACGGGTCGGGTCGTGGAAGTTGCCGAACCGGTGATTGTGGCGGTGTCCTCCAATGCAAACTCTCTGGGGCAAAACCAACCACACTTGCAGAATTTTCTCTTAACCAACCCAACAATTTGGACTTCTACGATATCTCTGTGATCGACGGTTTCAATGTTCCGATGGCGTTCAGTCCAACCTCTAATGGCTGTACTTCACTCCGGTGTCCCGCCGATAGGTGTTCCGATGCTTACCTTTTCCCTTCTGACAATACTAAAACTCACAGTTGCCGATCAGGAACCAACTATAGGGTTGTCTTTTGCCCTTGAATATGTTATTTGTCGATCGTCGCACAGCTTGTTTCCTTATTCCTACGTCCAAATAAGAACTAAATGTAATAATACGACGCCGTTCTCAGCATACCACTGTGTGCGCGCACTTCTCTTGCTTGGAATTAAATAAATCAATCTCGACTTTGGTTATTGTGCATTTGGATCGATCACTTTTGATTATTTTACGGTGCATGACTTATTGGCTTCAAAAAATTCGCTGGAATATATATATATATATATATAATTAGGTCCTAAAAGATTTTACTAAAAAAAAATTGTGTAACTATT